AAAGTATTTTTACAAGCAAAATGAGAAATAGCGATTGACTTTTAAAAATAATTATAATAATAATAATAATGATTGGGGAAAACATAGAAAAGATATCAAATGTTGAAGCGGGGAGATTAATGTCTTTGTACTGACTGAAATGCATGGCATTCCCTTTTGAAAAAGCAATGTAATACACTGTAAAGTTATATGTAATCCAATGTAATATAAAGAAGATTATGATGATAATAAAAAATTAAAGAAAAAAAAAAAAAGAAAAACACTCCTGAGTATAAAGGCATCTTGTGGTTCACATACTCATGTATGGCAATACAACATGGGATATAGAATCAACCTGCCTGTGATAAAATGGAGACTCTACCATCACTCTGAGACCATAACTGCCTCCATATTCTCATGTGTAGGACAAGGATAATAGTGGAATCCTCTATATATAGTCATAAAGAAAATTCAATGTAGTACTGTGTATAATAAGTATAGAGACTGACACATTATTTATGAAAAATTAATTTTTACTATTATTGTTATTGCACCTGATATAAACCAATTAAAATAGTATGTAGTTGAGGTTTTGAAGAGATTATTGATATCTTTCTTATCATAGTAAACCGTGTTTAGAATGTTGGGTGTATTTTATTATTTTATTTGACAAATTGGTAATGGAAACTAAAGGAAGAAGAATAATAAAATATTTATGACTAAATTTTTAAAAAATACATTTGTTTCAAAATGTATAAAAGACAAAGTAAATACATGACAGTGAAATGTAAAGAACTGATAATAGATAATCAGAGTATATCAGTGTTACCCTTAAATTCTTGTTTCTTTTCTTTCTTCAAACACACAGGTAAATAATACTTAGGTACTGTGGTAGAATTATCTCTGTTTATTAAAGTACAGTCAATCACTCTGGGACTGCCACTGGTTTTCTCATGGTCTGTGGATCTTTCCTGTTCATTTCAGTCCTCCATGTAGACAAACACAGAGAACTAAGTCTTATATTACATTGTCAATATATTCCATGCTAACTTTACATCTAACTACATTTATATTCTTTACCCATATTTTACAATTCCAATTTTTACTTATTCACCTATTCTTAAAATATATAGGCCATTTTAAATCCTATGGTAATAAGTCAAAATAAATAATTTGGCTCACAATTCTCTATGCCAATAGGTTCTAGTTCTGATTTAAAGCATGGAAATTCAGACTGAAAGTAGTAGGTTGTTCAAGCTGATGTTCAAGTTGTGTAGCCAGTTTTCAAAGGCATCATATCCAGTTAATAGACACTAAAATTTTAGTCTCCACTCATAAAATCTCACAGAGAGTTCCTAATGGGACCTATTTGAATGAAGAAGCTATAATGAAAGATTATTCATAATGAAAAAATGAATAAAATTCCATGTAAAATAAATATAAGAAGTTCTAAAATGCAAAAACTGAAATGTATCTATATCCCTGACTTTAGTAAAACTACTATCCTTTACTGTAAATATCTTCATACATTTTAATCTTTAATCTCTACAGCACTCAAGTGTCAAGAAAGAATGGTAAAGCTCTAGTAGACAAAAGTCTGGCACCCAATTTTTTCTATATAAATGTAGAGTTTTTCTTCAGTTCTTCTTTGGTAGCAAAAAGAAATATGTGCATGACAATTCAGTTTTGGTAATAATGTCATGGAGAAAGATCTGTAGTAACAATTACAAATTTAAAAATTCAGAATTTTCAAATTATACTAATCTTGAAATTAATTACTGACTATTAGGACAATAACACTTTCACCATGTTATTTTGACAGACTTCTTTTGTGTGTTTAATTGTAATAAAATATTAAGTATCTTTAAAGGAAATAAGAAGCTTCAAAGTTAATGTACAACGAGTTACCATTTTGACATAGAAAGCAGAACACCACACTATAAATAATTGAAACTTCAGAGGAAATTGACAGATGCAGGATGTAATGACCCAAGTTAGAATTTGGACACAAACACATTTATACCTAATGAGCAAGGGCCATGACTATTTAACATTCTATATCATTCCTAGAATATTAATATAACTCAATAAATGTGGCAATAACACAGGAAGTAGCATCTGTGACCTCTTGTAAAGTGATGAGCAATCATTACTGACCACAAATTCAGCATGTATGTGTATGTTTGTATATGTGCACACACATATGCATGCATATATGTATGTGTTAATATATCTGTGCATGGAACTCAGCAAGATTTTTAACTTTTTTTTGCCATACGTACACATATGTGCATGAACATATATGTACATATTAAATGTATACAGATAAGTATGTAATAGCTATAACTACACACATAAATATACGTAAGATTGAAGTCTTCAAGGATAATCACTATTTATTTATTTTAGAGAGATTTTTGCTACAGAGAGCATGTGCTCACCGGAGACACAGAGATGAGAGAGAAAGCGAGAAATCATTCTCCAGGGAGTATAGCCATACTACAATCCCTCTCCTCCATTCCCCTCTCAGAATTTTGGGCATTGTGGGACCAGCACTTAGCATAATGGCTCTGTCACTGAACTCTCACGTTGTCAACCGCAGTTCGCGTCCCGGACCCAGTGGCTTAAAACTCACACCGGGCACATGTGCATGCGTGCCCAAAATCCTGAGAGGAGAAGGGATTGCGGCGTGGCCATCGCCCTGGGGGGTGATTTCTCACTTTCTGTCTCTCTGCTTCTTTTCTGTCTGTCTGGAGAGTGCATGCACCCTATAGCAAAAACCTCTAAAAAAAAAAAAAAAAAAAAAGAATTTGGGGCATGCATGCACACAGGCTAGGTGTGAGTTTCAAGTCGTCGGGTCCACGACTGAACCACAGTCAGCCACGTAGAAGTCCAAAGCTTCAACCTATTGCCCCATATAATTCATTTTTAATGAAGCAGTATTATTATAGGTGTTCTAAATGCTATCACATGCAAAGCTCTATGATTTGGTAGTAGATATAATTAATTCAGTTTGTCTTGACTATGGTTCAATCATAAATTCTTGCTGAAATACCTCTTTAAAGCACATAGTTGGGAAGACAAATATATTAAATCTATAGCAAACTTCAATAAATAAATTGTCTAAAATTGTACATTTAAAACAGAGTTTTATTTTCTTCCTTTTTGTTATTTTTTATTTTTATTTTTTTTTTAGAAATGATTCCAGGTTGAAGTCATGAAGATAAATATTCCTACTCTGTTCCTAGTCTGAGTTTTTTTTGCTATAAATTAGGAGATGAATACCCTTAAACAGATTTTTTTTTTGGGGGGGGGGATAGGTTTTTGCTATAGGGCATGTGCACTCACAAGAAAGACAGAGAGAGAGACAGAGAGATAGAAAGTGAGAAATCACCCCCCAGGGGGGATGGCCATGCCACAATCCCTTCTCCATTCTCCTCTTGGGATCTTGGGCACACACACAAGCGCCCACCGTGAGTTTAAGCCAACGGGTCCAGGACTCGAACCGCTTTCGACTACATGGGAGTTCAGTAAGATAGCCTTTGTGCCAACTAATGGTACCCCCTTAAACAGAATTTGACTTAAAGACAATGGAAATTACAATCAACCTAAGTATCTATATATAAAATCTATTCTTCAGGTGAGTATTAAGGTTTACACCAATGAAAACCAGAAATGTTCTCCATGCGGAAATTCAAATTGACTTATCCCTGACTTGGGTGAAGAGCTTTTGTTTAGAGAAAATGCATTCAAACAATCCTGATTTCTTCACGTGAAGTGGTATACATTCAAAGTTACTTGTTCTCTTACTTTTCAGAAGTTAAATTCAGAAATGCTGAGGGACATTTCCTGGGAACATTTAATCTAACAAAAGAGAAATTCACCACAGGCTCTCTCTCACAGAAAACAAAAATGTGGAGGAAAATTAGGGGGAAAAAATCAGGTTTACTTTAAAATGTAATCAACTTTTTGGCCTCGATTAAGTTTAGGCTGGATTCATGATTTATTTCAATTACTCAAGATATAAAACCTTAAAGTTGACTACAGCTCTGAAGACTCTAATTACATTAGTATTTAAAATGCCATATTAATAGATGAGAAGATATGTTACATTAAAGGCCTTCTGTTATGTCCTTGGAGAGGTAAATAAAATTAATTACATCTCCACTGGGAGAAAATTTAATATGGCAGGATATGTGTACAGAAAAATATCACTGTGGATGAAGTGTTAGAGTAAAAATTTTTGAAAAAGAAACTTAACTGGCAAAATATCTGAGAGCTTCTGCCTACTATTAGCTACTCTAAATTTGGAAAAGCAGATGACAAGAGCCTCCATCTGGGGTCCACATGATCACTTCATGTGTGGGCAAGAAAATTATGCTTGCTTTCATCCCGAACACTCTTATTATCTTGGCTCCTTGCTCCATGTTATTGTTAACTGTAAGTATTTTTGATTCATAATGTACTATACATAAAATATACATCCTGAGGACCACATAGGAAATCCGTGGAAAGTTTTGTATGACTTTTGAAGTCTATTCTTTGAAGAAACCCTATTAATTGAAACAAACTTATTTATGAAAGTAGGGACTTTTTTTTTGGATTCTTTCATTTTAGACATATTTCAAATGACTAAACACCATTTCCTCCCTGAAAGGCCAGTAGTTTAAAAATAACTAAATATTTATTAGAACTGCCGTCATTTAGTAAGTCAGACAAACACAGACAGTTAAATTCCTTCCATTAGTTGGCAATAAGGAGAGAATTCTTACAGAACAATTTCTTAAATACCCATGTCATTTTCACCTAACATTTTGTCATGGCTCAATGTACATGTTTGAGTACTTCTAAACCAGTTTGATAGTGTAGCAAATTTAAAAATCTAAATTCCTGGGTGAAGTTTAATACCATGGCTCAGTCTTATGAGGGACTTTATCAGAAAAAGTATAATATGGCAGGGGTGGGGGGATCCACAATTAGGTATTTCATGTCCGTTTCTTCCAGACAGCAAAATAGTTTACCTGTATGTTAGTCAGAAGGGTCTCTATGGAAGATAATCCATCAGGAAACAGAAAAGGAGATGGGAAACCTGGAGGTAGTGGTTGTCCATGCCCAGTTAGAGAAAGTTTGTCAAGGCTGTCTCTTGCGGTTGGTGTAGAAAGCGGGGTCTCATCTGTATGTGATTGAAACAAAAATATAGAACAAGTTACGCTTGTCTGTTTTTATTAGACCTCAGTAATGGCTTCCCTAGTGGTTTCCAGAACATTTATTGCAAATTGGTTCCTGCTATCAGGAGAAAATGCTTTCTGCTGAATTTTCTTTAATGAAAAAGCTGTGGAGATACAACAAGATAACATTAATGAGTAACTTTATAAGCCTTTTAAATGCAGTCTCTAATGAGACTGAGTTTACAGTGCCATAGAATCTTTTTAAAACAAATATTATCTCATATATAGTTGTGATAATATATTCAGGCTGACTTTATGGGCACCTTCCCAATTATCTCATTTTAGTTTGTTCTGTTTGGATTGACAATAGAATATTTCTAGAGCTTCATATAAGGGGAAGGCTTTTTATATTAGGATGTTTCTTTCTCAATTAACCCTTCATTTATATCAATGATTTGTTCAAATAGTCTTAAGGAATTTACAAAAGATTGTACAGTTAAAATCTCTCAAATATATTCTTTCTTAATTATAACTTAATTTTCACTACCATTGATGTTAAAGAGCTAATTATTTTGAATTTGAACCCCTTTTAATTTCATACTGAAAAACTACATCTTTTATATGTAAAAATGGGTACTAAAGACAGAGTAATAAAATACAACTTCCAAAACAATATTTATAAAATCAAATTAAAAACCCTCTTGGATAAATTCCTCTTTGTTCCAGTCAACATTCTTCAACATTTTAAGCAATTTAGAATGTCTAAATACAACATTCTTCAACATTTTAAGCAATTTAGAATGTCTAAATACAGGCTATATTTTTATTTTCACAGTGAATATTTTTGTTCTGCTCTTTATTATTTAACCATTTTTATGATTTCATATATGATAAGAGCTAATTATTTTGAATTTGAACCCCTTTTAATTTCATACTGAAAAACTACATCTTTTATATGTAAAAATGGGTACTAAAGACAGAGTAATAAAATACAACTTCCAAAACAATATTTATAAAATCAAATTAAAAACCCTCTTGGATAAATTCCTCTTTGTTCCAGTCAACATTCTTCAACATTTTAAGCAATTTAGAATGTCTAAATACAGGCTATATTTTTATTTTCACAGTGAATATTTTTGTTCTGCTCTTTATTATTTAACCATTTTTATGATTTCATATATGATAGATACAAGGTTTGGGTTTATTAAAATCACAGAGAAAATTCTAGTCATGGCAGGATTCCCAATTTTATAAATATTTTCATATTTCACCCCTAGGAAAATTAATCAGAGCAATGTATTTGCACAGTCCTGATAATATCTCTCAATTTTGCAAGTGGCTAAAAACTTCAGCATACTTGCCTTATGCCTATAATTTGATTTCACTCTTCTTCTCAATCACTCTTTTATTTTTTATTACAACACCTAACCACACAACACATTTTCCAATTACCTCTCCCTGGGACAGAAATATTATGGAAGCCACCAAACTTCCCTATTCCCTACTACTGTCAGAAGTTAAATTCATTTCCCGCACCTTTCCACATTTCTAGCTAATAAGGGAGAAAAGATAAAAAGAACAGAAGAAAAGCTGGGGAAGGAAGTAATGGATAGGAGGCCACCTATTAACCACACTCCTTTCATGCTCTCTCACTCCTCTGCAGTTTTTCCTCCCTCTCCCTCTTCTTTTAACTTACTAAGAGATGATATGAGGCAGCAGATAGAAGAAACAGAGTAAGCAACTAAAGTAGGATTCATGGAAGCATTTTGTTTTTAATCACACTTTGCCATAGGGATTAAAGAAAGACTGCAGTGCAGGGGTGGGGCTACTGCATGGCTAACACAAGCAAGGTGATCTTAGACACCATTTACCTGGCCATCATAAATTACTCCTTCAGACCAAGGCTGCTACTGTTTTCTCATAATAGCTCTGAAAAGCACTTGTTAAACATCTATGTGCATGTGAAATTGTTTAAGAATGGAGAGCAATATTTTTCGATCTGCATCACCTTAGCTGTCACATGCTAAAGAAAATGTGGCTTAATAGATCATGGGGCTAATAATTGCTTGTCTCTTGAAGAAAGGCATAAACCCAGACGACCACCTGAGTTTGCTTTCAGCTTTAGCCTACGATTCCACAATCCTTAAAGAGACTGTCCATGAAAATAAAAGAATCCTGTGTACGCATACACATACATTTGATTATAAGTTCCATCATTTCATGATTAGTTGATTTTACTTTAATGCATTTATGCCTGACTATATTTTGCTGTTATGTGAATTAAGTCATTAAATCATTCATGATGCATGCACTTATGTAGTCGATATTTACCTAACATAAACAATGTGTTAGATACTAATGATAGAATGCTAAAAATATAATAAATAGTAAATATCTAATTGCTGTATTTAATAAAACATTTTACTTCCTATAATTATTCCTTTAGATACTCCGCTGATACCAGTACAGAATGAAAATTGTTCTGTGTACATGAGTAGCACGTGTACATGCATGTGTACAAACTTTCTACAGTTGCTTCCGTGGAATGTTTATCTTGCTCTTCATGTTTCTTGCTATACGACAATAGACTATCATTTGGTACAACATACCTGATTGGACTCATTTATTCATCTGTTTTATGCAATGGAGATACAACATAAGGCCAATTTAATTCCACGCATAAGTTAAAAAATACATTTAGGGGGACCAACACTTAGCGTGATGGCTATGTGTCTGGACTCCCACGTAGTCGACTGCGGTTCGCGTCCCAGACCCGGTGGCTTAAAACTCACACCAGGAGCGTGTGCGTGCATGCCCAAGATCCCGAGAGGAGAATGGAGGAGGCAATCTCCCCTGGAGGGTGATTTCTTGTTTTCTATCTCTCTATCTCTCTCTGTCTGTCTGGTGAGCGCACACACCCTGTAACAAAAACCTGTCCAAAAATAATAATAATAATAATACATTTAGGGAAAAATAACAGCTTAAGAAATAGAAAATATAAATATATTTATCTTAAGATCAATACACAGTTTTGAAAAGGAGACAAACTAATAAAAGATCAAACAAAGAAACAAAGATATTTCTTTGGGTTTCAAGACCCTGTTAACTGACAAAAAAGTTGTCACCTTGTGGCAATTAACATGATAGAAACCCTCATTTGGTTCTTCCTACAAAGGATGCAAGGTTGGGAGCATGGTTCTTCTTTTCGAAATACAAGTGAATGGGGAGCAGCAGATGGCATAATGGGAATGTGTCTAGATTCCCTCGTAGTAGACCACGGTTTAAGTCCAGGCCTGGTGACTTCAAACTCATGCTGGGCATGCATTATGTGTGTGTGTGTGTGCCCTAAATCATGAGAAGAAATTTCAAATTGCTGGCCTTCAGAACTATGAGAGAATAAATTTCTGTTGTTTTGAGCCACCGAGTTTATGCCAGCCCTAGAAAAATAACACAAGGTCCGTTCATCAGTTATACATTCTATCACATTTGTTTTCTAATATCCTTCCTGTCTCTCTCTCCCTGTCTTGTTCTGTGACCGTGTGTGCATGTATTTGTTAATCTATTTGACTATCGTCTCCTATTGATTCTTAAGACTTCAGCATGTTTTCCCCAAGTACAGGACATACTCTTATGTAACCATAATTTAAAACCCTCAAAAATAACACACATATAAGCCTCTTAAATAGTCCACATTCTAGCTTCAGTATGAGACTATTTTACAGTAAGTAGTTATATAATAAATATTCTATGTGACCAGTACTTAATGAGTATTTTCCGTGGGCATGTATTAGTCTTTAAGATGGTCTCTGATCTATCTTCAGCCCACAATTCACAGTCCTTTCCCTTGATCTAATACATAGATCCAACAAATGTAATGGGATGTTATTTCGGAAATTCAGTTACAAAAAAAGTCTATAGCTTCTATTTCTTCCCTTTCTCTTGCAATATTTGTCATGATTCAAGCCAACTGTGGTATCATGATACCACCCTACGGAGAGGTACACAGGACAAATGACCCAGGCCTGTCAACCACATCATGAATTGGCTTAATAGTGAATTCTTCCTGCCCAGTGAAGCTTTAAGATAGTGTCCCAGGACTGGCTGATTGTTTATCTGCAACCTCGTAAGAGACCTTAAGCCACAAGTACCCAGTTAAACTATACCCAAATTTTTGATCCACAAAAACTATAAATGAATAAATATTTGTTAGTTTCAGCCTCTAAACTTTGGTGTATCTGTCAAACAGCTACGAATAACTAAAACAATGCATAACATTTTGGGAATATTTTAGACTGTATAGAAAAAAATGACTTACTGTTGAGTTCCTGTCAGTTACATTGGACATGTGTTAACTTTTTAGCTTTTCAATTTCCTCAACTGAATGAAAATAGCAACTGAATAAGACACTGTAATACCCAATCTCAAAATGCTACACTGTTATTTCTTATGAAAATGTATTAAAAATTATTTAAATGGATTTCACCTATCGCTGCAGAGTAATAATGTATCGGTTTGAAATTAGAAATTTCAATACCTTTTTAATTACAAATTCCAAAGAGTTGGGGATTTCTAGGCAAGATGTAAAGAAGATTAAGTCACAAATACATAAAATTTCAGAGCAAGCTATTGATTAACTAGGTTTACAAGCTCTACTTTGTAAGGATTCTTAAATTATCTTGTTTTATATTATCAAATTAGAGAATAGTTCAATCACCTATAAAATAGGCACACTCGCAATACTTGGGATAGCAAATTAGATCCTGCCATGGATCTATCTTCCTGGGAATAAATTAAGTACTTTTGAAAGCTACATTAACTAGGTTATTATTTTATTAGAGTATTCCACGTCCATCAGGTCTAGAAATTATGGTAGTTCTCTAGATGAGTTATTTTTTAAACTCCTAAAATAATAGTTATTAACGTTACAGAATTCTTGTTTTTTTAATTCAGGTTAAGAAAAATATAGTGGTCTTCTAAAGATATATAAAACAGCACGTAATCTAAT